CACGATGGTCTCTCCTGCACTAATGCCTACTGCGTGCACACGATGGTCTCTCCTGCACTAATGCCTACTGCGTGCACACGATGGTCTCTCCTGCATTAATGTCTACTGCGTGCACATGATGGTCTCTCCTGCAATGTCTACTGCGTGCACACGATGGTCTTCCATGCACTAATGTCTACTGCGTGCACACGATGGTCTTCCATGCACTAATGCCTACTGCGTGCACACGATGGTCTCTCCTGCACTAATGTCTACTGCGTGCACATGATGGTCTCTCCTGCACTAATGCCTACTACGTGCACACGATGGTCTCTCCTGCACTGTCTACTGCGTGCACACGATGGTCTCTCCTGCACTGTCTACTGCGTGCACACGATGGTCTCTCCTGCACTAATGTCTACTGCGTGCACACGATGGTCTTCCATGCACTAATGTCTACTTGCACACGATGGTCTCTCCTGCACTGTCTACTGCGTGCACACGATGGTCTCTCCTGCACTGTCTACTGCGTGCACACGATGGTCTCTCCTGCACTAATGTCTACTGCATGCACACGATGGTCTTCCATGCACTAATGTCTACTGCGTGCACACGATGGTCTCTCCTGCACTAATGCCTACTGCATGCACACGATGGTCTTCCATGCACAGCATATACTCAATGGTCTTCCACCTACTAAACGCCCATGGCATGCACACAATGGGCCTCCTTGCTGTGAGGCATATGGAAGAAATGGAGAACACATTCCTTCCCAGACACTTAGGAATTATCCAGCCGCAACCCCACCACTGGCCATCTGAGAGCTGCATAGGAACAGTGCCACTAGCAACCCTCCTGCACATTTTTTATACAAAACACTTCATAATCATATTTTCATCGCTTTTTTTTTGTCAGTCACTTGAACTCTGGGCCTGGGTGCTGTCCCTCAGCTCTTCAGCTCAAGGCTAGTGCCCTGCCACTTGAGCCACAGCGCCACTTCTGGCTTTTTCTGCTTATGTGGTGCTGAGGAATTGAACCCAGGGCCTCATGCATGCAAGGCAAGCGCTCTACCACTGAGCCACCTTCCCAGACCTATTTTCATCACTTTTGACAAGGCATTAGCAGTGGGCTGGGAGCCTGGCTGCCACAGTCCTCGATCAGAACACACACACACCTGTAAAACGAGGTTTTTCTTGCATGAAAATGTACAGTGCAAGGC